AGAATATATAAAATGAAAATGAATAAGGTAGTGAGAGATTGTGTGTGGAGGCTAGAGTTAATGTTTTTGGTGGAAAAGGAACTGAAAGGAGCGTGCATTCCAGCTGCTAAATGAGGGAGAAAAATAAAATAAAAAGGAAAAGAAAAGATTAGGGTGAGACACACACTTTGCACATATTCAAATAGATGACTTTCTCTCATTGGCTTAAAAGGAATATTCTAAGTAAGAATATTCTCACTTATTTCACGAAAGGATTTGATTATTCTCTCCCTTTTTCAGCCCCAAAATGATACCACTAATACCCAATTTAGCCATCTTCCATGACTCTTAACTAATTGCAAAAGTCCAAGTCCATTTGTGTCACCTAAGTCACAAAATGTACATAAAATTAAAATCAAATATTCATGTGATTTAATAAATAAATACTTTCACATGAAATTAATTAATCATCATGGAAGAATATTAATGAAATAAAATCAAATCATGCATGCACATAAAGCCCTAATTTGGTCAACAAAGTCAACAACCTTAAAATTTAATTTTTATTTTATAACTCTCAAACCAAACTGAATTTTGAAAAACTAATTTCATATTCATTCTTTCAGGCATAAAACACATGGAACATAACATTAATCTAATTTTTTTTATAAAAAGTACAATTTTGGATCAAAATATCCTTAGTGCACAATTTTGCCCCTTAGGTGATTTTCTTGCTTTTGACACCATGAATGTAGCAAAATGGGGGATAAAACATGTAAAATGGATCCTAAATAAATGGATAAAGTGCATAAAATATGAGTCTTCTTACCTAAATATGGGTGTGTGTGTTCAAATCCAATTCAATTGTTGAGGTAAAAAGAAACAAAAAATGGAATTCAGTTGTCACGGCAAGCACGTGAGTAGGATCTTTACGGAAGATCAATAAGATTAAAACTTTTTTGTTAAGAAAAGAGATACATACATACATACATACATACATACATATATATACATATATATATATATATATATATATGATTTTAATTAAAAAAACTTTTGTGCTAGCCTGAAGTAGTACATAGGCCTCACTCTTATCTAGGATTGCTCAAGGTGCTCGCAAACTTGATCAGCTCAGCCTAACTCGACCCTAAAATACCCAGCCAAATAGATGATAATAATGCTTGAAGATTATCAAGCATGGTTGGGCTAGATTCATCCCTTAAGTAGGGCTAGGGTTAGGGTTGAGGTGTTGGTAAAGCTGGTGATTTGGGTTAAGCCCAATTAGTCAATCCAAATCCACCCTAAAAATTTAGGGCTTCACCCAAAAAAATAATTTTTTAAATGTTCAGGCTTGAGAAAATTCTTTAAGTTTTATAATATTCGTGCTCAACCTAGATACTCAAATAAAAAAATAATTTTAAAAATTTATATGATATAATAAATATTAATTAATTCTATAAGTTTTATGTCATTTTATCCTAAAATAAAGTATATTTGAGTGCATTACTATAGTTTCTTAAAAAAAATTAAAAATATTTATATTTTTATATTTTTATTATTTTTAATCAATAAAATATCTCAAAATAATATGTAAAATCTATTTTAATATTTATTTTTATATTTTAAGAGCCAATTTTTTTTTAAAAAACTGTTTTGAGTCCTATCTACCATTTGTGTATCTAAAAAATATATTTTTATTTTTTATAAAATAAGATAATTAATTTTAAAGCAAAAATAAAATTAAGGTATATACAAATTCTTGGCTTTACTATTAGATAAATATAATAAATAGAACAATATTTTTAAATAATTATTTAGTTATCTTCCACGTCAAACTTAAGTAAAAATTAAAAATAAACTAAAGTAATTACCCCTTATATGTAGGGGTTAAACAATATAAAAAGTTAAAGAAAAAACTAATTCCAAAAAAATAGTATTTTACTCATAATTAAATAATTTTATTTTATATGATATAATGATGATTATTTTTCTCATATTCTTAAAAATAAAAAGTACAATTTACCCAAAGGTTATTAAAAATTTTAAATTAATCAGGGCAATAATTTTAAGTTAGTGGTCTAATTGTGATTGTATTGATGTCAACTTGATCATAATTAAAATAATATAATTTAATTAAAATATATAAAATATTTATATATAACCATGATAAAAGCAATATTTAAACAAATAAGACATTAATTTATAAGTAAAGGAAACATTCATAAATAAATTACATTTAATATAACAAAATAGTAATAGAGCTACTTAAGTATAAAGTTAATAAGTTATTATTTTGGCTAAAGTATACATTTAATCCTTTAATTTTATACAACATTTCATTTTAATTCCTTAACTTTGTAAAGTGTTTTTTTAGTTCTTTAACTCTAATAGTGTTAGTTTTATTCTAAAAATTTTTATATTGAACTCTTAAATATTGATAAAATATTATCAAATGTTGACATATTTAATTTAATTTTTTTAAAAATAATAGTAATTGATACAAAAAATAATCAAACCAACAGAATTAGGGTTGAAGGACTAAAAAAATACTTTATAAAATTAAAGAACAAATTGAAACCTCATACAATGTCAGAGGACTAAAGGTATACTTTAGCCTATTATTTTTTATTTTATTCTTTTAAAGTTAAAATAATATTTTATGCTTAACAAAATTATTTAAAAATTAAAATTAATTGAAAAAATAAAGAAATTTTCTTAAAAAAAGTTTTGGGTATTCGGGCTGGCCCGAATAAACCTGAAGCCTGAAGATGTTAGAATTGAGTTTGATTATATAGGTTTTTTAAAAAGGGTATGATACTTTAAATTCAATCTGAATAAGTTCAACTCATCCAAATTACTGGTTTTTTTTTTTTGGTAAAAAAGAAGGGGCTAAAGCCCAAAGAACAGTCAAAGAACTAAAGACCTCCGCCAAGCACTAATACACTTAACCCCTATCAAATGGAAATCCACACTTATCAGCCAAAAAGATTAAGGCAACCCTATTAGGAACACTATGCCACAATGAAGTCCCTCTAAGCAATTCAAAACTCCACCCTGCAAGAGCATCTGCCAGTTGGTTCCCTTCACATGGTGAATAGGAAACTTTAATATCACCACACTCCTTCAACCTTCCAGTCTTTCAAAAAAAGCTGCCATCATCTTCTCCGTCCTTACTCAACCTCTCCAATCTTTTCACTAAAGCCATTGAGTTTAATTCCAATACTACTTGACAGAAACCCAGCTTCTAATACCACTCTAAACCCACAATCACACCCCATGATTCAACTTCAAAGGTAGTACCAAACCTGATATTATGGCTGAATCCCAAGATCTAATTACCAAGCTCATCTCTTAAAACTCCTCCATAGCCAGCAAAAGACTTCTTAGATCTACATGCCCCATCTATATTAAGCTTGACCCAACCCTTACAGGGTAGTATCTAATTCACCAACCCCCTTATTCTTTTTCCAATCCTTTCCAAAATCCCACCTTTCACTCTTGACGTTTCTACAACAAAATCTAATATTCTTCGCAACAAACGAGCAATATCCAAAATCTCTCTACCTCCAAAAATCTTTTTTTTTTCCTTTCTTTCCACACAAACCAACTAGTAATACCAAAGACCAAACATCAAGAATTAACCCTGTATTGCCTCTCATAACAGCCTAAATTAGCTAAAAGCCAAGATTTCATATCTGTGGAAATGAAACTAGACCAGAGATCTCTCATAACTAGACTTTGCTAGACCTCCTTAGCCACAACACAGTCCCTCAATACATGAAGAACCTATTCACTCTCTTTACATGCAACATACTCATCAGAAGCACCCTATCTTTGCTTTCGGACAGCACTAGTATGAAGCTTATTATGCCCCACCATCCATAAGAATACTCTTATCCTCTCAATCCCCAGCACTTCCATATAGAACCCCATAATTTATCACACTGAGCCCAATTCTCCTTCATCAATGAATGATATCCCCCTTTGACAGTATATTCTCCACAAGCCCCCCCTTTCCATTTCCAACCACCCTTACGTTCCTTAGCAGAAGGAGGTAGACAAGAATTAATCCTCATAATAGCTTCATTAGAAACTAAACCCTCAATTCTATCCCATTTCCACATCCCATTCACATCAACAGCATCCCTTACCTTCTAGTTCAACATATCTCTAGGAATCTCATATATAGCTTTTTTCAGCAAAATACACTCCCTACTCAACCATATGTCCCTCTAAAAATTAGTTTCACCCCCACCTTGAACATCCCAAACCTATCTACCTTGCATAAAATGCCAAGCTAAGGCTAAGTCTTTCCACAGGGTAGAATCCATTCTTCTAACAATCACTTTATCTACAAACATACTACCCCCATTATATTTATGTTTTAAAATGTCAACCCACAAGCCCCCAGCATTTGATCTTAATGCCTTAGTTGCTTTAAGAAGACATGCACTATTCATAACTTTCAAATTCAGCAACCCTAAACCCCCCACCTCCTTCGACTGTTGCATACATTTCCAACTTACTAAATGCATTTTTCTTTCCTTAGTCTTATACCAAATAAAAGCTCTTTGAATCTTTTCAACCTCATCACAAGTGGCTACAGGAAGCTGGGCAACCATTATTGGATATATTGGAATATGTAATGACTTAGGATTTTAAATTAAATGATTTTTCATCTAATTAATATTTTATTAAATTGTTCAAGTTTTATGATGAATAAGAAGTAGTGGCTTAGTGAAAATTATGTTGGTCTTTATTTAAATGATTAGGGGTTTGAATCTTACCTATGCCAAAGGTGATTTTATTTTTTCTGGGGATTAATGAATTTACCAAAATATCCTTGACCTTTGTGTTATTAAAGAAAATATCTTCTGGGTTTTTTTGTAATTTTTCCAAACTGTAATATTTTAAAACTCCCTTTGTCGGTCGAAGAAAACAGAGCACAGTGAGAAAGAGTCCAGTTTCTTCTACACACGTCTTCTCCACATCACCGACTTGCTTATCTGATCCCCGCCAGCGACTAGCGTCCCATGCCATCAGAATTTCTCCACCGTAAATGATGAGGCTGTCCAGTTTTCTTTTCTCCTTTCTTCCCCTGTTTTTCTGTTGCGTGAGCCATGCTGGTGTGTGTGTGTGTGATGTTGGCTTTTCTCTCCTCTGTCTCGTCACCAGTGAGGTGGGCTGCTAAAATCCTTGCCTTTCTGTCATTCGTCGCACCTCCTCTATTTGTATCCATCGTGGTTGCTGCTGTTAGACCTTTCTCGAGCAGCAACGTCGCTGGCACTGGTTCATTTACGTCGTCGCCATTTCAGTGGTCATGGGGCACATCGGTCTTCCCTTGGTTCTGTGTCCTGGTGCCAGAAATCTCTCCCTGATTCACGTTGGACGAGTATAGTAACTTGTTGGAGATGAGAGAATTCCAAATCCTCTGCTCTGCGATCTCCGGCCTCTATTTTTTTTTCGTTCACCTTCACTTCTTTTCTATTCATGTTGGCGACCAGATTAGGAGGGGTATCTGCGTTCTACATCCCTGTTCACAAGCCCAGAATCTCCTTCTATTTGCTGTTGCCATTGCTAAGGTAAGGATCCTAGAATCTCCTCTTCCTTGTTGATGCTATGTGCGTACTAGATGGCTAGAAAGTTTGACGCGTTCGCCATTGCTAAGGTAAGGATCCTAGAATCTCCTCTTCCTTGTTGATGCTATGTGCGTACTAGATGGCTAGAAAGTTTGATGCGTTCTTTCTTGCTCTGTTGCTGCAGATGACTTTTGTACAGTAGGAGTTTGAGTAATTTGAATTTAAAACTTATGGGAGCATTTCTATTAAATAATCTTGATAATTGTTTGAGGATCAATGCCCGCAAAATGTTCAATAAAATGTTCAAAAAGAAATCTTGTTATGTAGTGATGTGATATATATGTATATATATATATATATGATGGTTATGTTGTTGATTAGATAAACCATCATTAGAGGACAATTACCTTTCGCAAAACTTGGTAAGTTGATTCAATTATCCATTATCTATTTAATAAAATTTTGGAAGGTGGAATCAAGGAGGAAAAAAAAATTTGGTTCAAGTTTAAGAATTAATGCATGAAAGGTGATTGAAAAAATAAATAAATAAATAAATAAATACATAAATAAAAAAAATGTCTATTGGGATGAGTTTTATCTTATTATGTAATTTATGAAAAACAAAATGCATTTTGTATAGGTGATATTTAAGTTAACTTAGCTTTGTGAAAATTTTTTTGATCATGTAGCTGTTGGATGGCTAATTGAATTTTTGAAAATTGTACTATTGATGAATTATAAATAATGGTGTTGATTTATGTCTCATTTTATGGTGCACTTAAGGTATTTGATGAAGTGAGTTATGGATATAATTTCTTAATGTAATAGAGTAATAAAGCTCAGGTGTGCATGTATGTTCATACTTTGATCAAAATTTAGTTAGCTCTTGATTCGAGTTAGAAAGACAAGTGTAACATAGAGAAAGCTTTGAATAAATAAATAAATAATATATAGTATCGTGAGGATTGAAAAAGACTTAAGATATGTATAAGATCAATTTGAGAACTTAGGGTATATTGTCCCTGTTATGGAAAAGGAGTTTTATTAGACTCGGATAAAGGTCAGTAAAATTTCCGCATTATTGAATAGGGGATCTGAAGAAAAGAAATCTTGATTGAAGTAGTAAGGAAGGTTTGTTTGAAGCGATAAAGGGTGAATCTTTGTGCTTGGGAATATTGTAGGTAAGTGGATAGCGTCCCAACTGATTTTTTTTCTATTATTAAAATTTCTTTTACTAAAATGTATGTTTTTCTGAAAATCATTTTAATAGCATTAATGCAATTATTGGATATTTGTTGATTAACTTTACTTTATTTTAAGAAATTAGCTTTATCAAATTTGAAATGTTATTTGATCAATTAAATTAAGTTTGGACTTTGATTGTGAGATTTTTATTTTATCAAATATTGGATTGATACAGAGAATGATTCTTGCTATTCAACTTTGAAAATTTTGATTATCCGATAAATGCAAGCATGAGCATTGGATATAAAATTTTATTCTGGCAAGTTTTAATGCTTAAAAGTATTCATGCGAGTTTGATTTTGAGAACGAGAATTGTATCTTGAAAGTGATGATTTTCTCGCATGTTTGAAAATGGTTTAAAGAAAAAAAAAGAAAGGGACTTTATACGGAACACTGGTTGCTAACGGCAGTTCCGTTAGCCCTTGACGCGCCATGGTACACCTAGCTAGTAGGGTGTTTATAGGAGGTGCTAGCCCCGTGCGATGGCCAACGCACGTGGAACGGAGGGATGGTTATTCGTGGGCTTTGGACCCGCGTTTGATTTCGTGGCTTCATGCCGCGTTTGGTTAGCATTACCTTCGTGGACTGTGTGTCCACGTTTGTTTCGTGGCTTTGGCCGCGTTTGGTTACTTACCCTCGTGGACTGTGTGTATCCACGTTTGTCTTCGTGGCATAAGCTGCGTTTGGGTAGTTACCCTCGTGGACTGTGTCCACGTTTGTAAAATTGTTCTGATAAGTCCCTATAATTATAAATACAATTATTTGATGATTTTATATTCCATTGATGTTATTCAATAATTTGTTTATAAATATTTATTTCATTTATGTGCTTTCTTGGAAGCAAATCCTATTAATATTTATCATGATAGTTCAAAGATTTAAGATCTAATTTTAAAAAATTTTACAGAGCTATTCTATTTTAAAGTTTATTACATTTTTTTTAAAGGCCGTTGTCTCTTTGACTCACAATAATTTTAAACTTTTCCTTTTGATTCAAGTTCTATTATTTATTGTTGGGACGTTATTCACTAGAAATTATTATTTTGGTCTCAGATACGTTAGCTGATGTTGTGCCTTCCGTTAATCCTTGAGGGGCTGAAATATTCAGTTGAGATCAAACTTCTTTTAAGTAAGTTTCTTATGTCAGATGCTCCACATAAGCTATAGTTAGGGTCCTCATCCTTATGATTTATACTTTGATATTTACTGATCGGAAGAGAATTCCTTGCTGCTACTACTACTTTGTAAAATATTAAACTTTTGTTCGTATGGTTTGTATTGAAGATAACTTAATTTATTATCAAAGGTCTTCATGGCTTATAAATTAGAGTTTTCTTGAGTAAAGACTTTTAGGATATGGATATTATCTCTATATTTTTTTGTGCCAAACATGTTATATTTTCGAGGTGTGACAGAATAGATCCAATAACAGACTTAGCTAAGGTAATTCTTCCTGCCATACTCAAACATTTTGCTTTCTAACTTGATAGTCTTCTCTTTACTTTCTCTAATACAAAATCAAAACTCCTCTTCTTAGAACGCCCATAATTAAGAGGCACTCCAAGGTATTTGCCAAATTCCTCACCTTCTTGAAACCTGGACATCTCCAATAAATCCTCTTTAACTTTTCTATTAGTATTATTTGAGAACAAAATAGCAGACTTCTCAAAACTAACTTTCTACCCTGACATACAACAAAAATCCTCCAAACACTCTAAAACACATTTCATTTGTGAAACTGTGGCCTCTCAAAAAAGTAACAAATCATCAACAAACATTAAATGAAAAACTTCAGGTCCATCCCTTCTAAATTTAAAATCTTTCCACTGCTCACTAACTTTAGCATCATTAATTCTATAACCTAATTTCTCCATAATCAAAACAAACAAATAAGGTGAGAGTGGATCACCCTATCTATTTCCCCTAGAAGGGGAAAAGAACTTAAAGCAATACCCATTCCACAAAACACTTGTTGAGACAGACTGCACACATTTCATAATAACCTCAATAAGAGTCTCACCAAAACTAGCTTCCTTTAACACATCTTCAATACATGATCACCTGATCCTATCATAGGCCTTCTCAAGATCAATCTTAATGGCAAAGAAACCCTCCCTACTCTTCAATCTTCTCATTCTATGCAAAATTTTATGAGCAGTAATCAAGTTCTCCTGAATGTGACGACCAGGTACAAAGCTAACTTGATTAGGAGAAACCAATATAGGAAGTAAGTGCTTTAACCTATTAACAATCAACTTAGGAATACACTTGTAAATGACATTATATAGTCCAATTGGCCTTATCTACCTCATACTTTTAGGTTCATCAACTTTAGGAATCAATGCCAAAAGAGTATTATTAATTCTACTCATATTATCATCCCCTACATACATATTCCTCACTACCCTGCATACATCCTCTCCAACATCATTCCAAAATCTATGATAAAAAGAGCAGGAAATCCATCACTACCAGGTGCTTTCCATGCATCAATAGAGAATATAGCTCTCTTTATTTCATCATTCGTAATAAGCCTCTCCAAAAAAAGCCTTTTCTGATTAGAAATTCTGTTAAAAGTAGTCAGGGTAATAACTTCTCTTTGTTGCTCCTTCTCCTCTAAAAGGAGTTTCTTAAAAAAATATAATGCCATTCTATAGAGTTCTTCTTGATTGTCAACCCATTACCTATCATCATTTTTCAACATTTTCACTCTATTCCTTCTATGCCTTCTAATTACTTTTAAATGATAATATCTTATGTTTCGGTCTCCATCCATAATCCATTGAGCCAGCCACTCTTGAAACCATAGAATCTCTTCTTGCTTAAGGACATTAGAGAGTTTCTCTTGTAGCTTTCTCTCAAGATCAAAGAGATGCTAATAAGCTAGACTACCAATCTTTCTTTAAACCCCATCCAAACGACGTAACAAACTCCTTTTGTTACCTTCAATATTTCTAAACACTTCCTTGTTTCATTTCTGTAATTTATCCCTCATATTCATGAGACCCTCACAAGCATCTTCACCTTTTCTCCAACTCCTTCTAACAAAACCATCAAAATCATCATGAAGTGTCTAGGCTACCTCAAATCTAAAAGGCCTCCCTCTTCGATAAATATCATTTTCAACTAAAGACACCAATAATGGATTATGATCAAAACAATCAATACGAGGCAAAATAGTAATACTAGCATCTTGAAATTGGCTTCTCTAATCTGCATTACACAAACCTCGATCCAACCTTTTAAAGATACTTTCATATTCATGAATCAAAGGGCCTCTCTAAGTAAATCTTTAACCATAACTCTACACATCTATTAAGCAACAGAGATCAATACGCTCTCTAAATCGGAGACCATGTTAACTTCAGCCCCTTTGCTTATCTTTCACACCCTTAATATCATTCAAATCTCGAACAACCAACCATTCCAGATTTGTAGTCATGGAAATTCTCTCTATATCCTCCCAAAACTCATGTTTCCCTTCCTCTCGTGGAGAGACATAAGCAATAGTAAGCATCCAAGGCCTCTCATTAGCAAAAGACACCATTAAATGACAAAATTGAGGATTGTCCTCCACCACATTCACCTTCACTGCCATATCTTTCCAACTAATCCAAATACCCCCAGCAAAACCATCTCCCTCAATAGTAAAATACTCATCAAACCTAAGTTTTCAAAATAAAATACTAGCATTATTTCTATTAACTCTAGTTTCAACAAGAGCTGGAAAATCAATTTTTTTTTTCATTAACAATAATCCGAACACCCCTTTCAAAACTCCTACTCCCTGTACCTCTATAATTCCAGACTAAAAACTTTTTATCATAATCATTAAAACAACAATTTAATCAATGGAAAGGTTTGCTTTAGATCCTTCAGCAACAACATAAACCTCATCATCATCTATATTCACATCCATAGTCTCATCAGTATCCATCCAAACTGTATTATCAAGCAGTCTCATACCAATGGAACCCTCTAATTGTGCATATCTAGAGGGAACCATGCTACTAACTACTGTATTTTGATCAATCTCAGCTAAAGCAATTCTATTATGAATAGAACCAATAATGTTACTTCCAAGACCAACAATAGCATTTTCTTGGTCCTTCCTCACAGTAGCTACAAGAATTTCTTTTTGAGAAATAGCTATAGCTACACGTTCCTATCTTGATCTCCTTTCATTAACAGAGATTTGCTTTTCTCCAGAAATAGAACTATTGGCATACTGAATTTTTCCTTCTACAAACCAATCCTCCTTAGCATCCTCTATCACAACCTGCTTCGAAGACCTTTGGGATTGTCTAATCTTAATACTCTTGTTACTAACATTCATATCAGCCCCATTAACAACTTCTACCTCATCACTCTATTCCCTACCCTTTCCCTCACTCTCCTGATATAAACCTCTAAACCTGGACCCATCAAGACCCCTTTGATCAACCCTCCTCCTACTAAATTCACCCCAGCCAAGTCCATTCTGTCTTTTGAAACTTTATGCTGAACGAGTGACTAGGTTCTGAAAAATCTGTCCTTCTTTGGCTCAGCAACAACTTCATCAACCACTGGGTCACAATAAGCTTGTCTATGACCACAATCCTTCTCAACGTGATCAAATTTCCCACAATTAAAGCAGAGCAAATGCAAACCTTCATATTCAATTACATAATTCTTCCCTTCTAAAATAAATTTTGCTAGTAGAGCAGCATTTAAGTCAATTTGCACACATACTCTTGCAAATTACCGGCTTTAGGTGTTGGACAATTATGCCCAACTTGACATGAGATGAATAAAATAAAAAATAATGAAAATAAAACATATGAGCATGCTAATGTTGTGTCATTTTGTTTTTTAAATTTATTTATTTATCATTTTATCTACCCATTTTGTGTGCCCCCTCCTTACTTGCCCCTAATATCTCTGTACCCTATTTGAATTGCTCTCATTTTCATCTCATCTCTACTAGTCATCATCTACCTCTGCCAAATCTGAGAAGGACAAGGTCTTAACAACACACCATTAGCTGGTCTCCATCTCCACTTCACTCCAGTTCATTGCTATCTCTTGTTCATAGGTATCGAAGACTCGCCATCTTCGTCTCTATCAATTTTTAAGTATCGAAAATGCAATGTTGCCTCGCCTCTTCTGGTTGCTCTTGTTTTTGTTTTGTGGCTACTCCCAAGTACTTTTATTCTTCTTTCCCTTGCAATGAATGTGTTGTTCTTCTACTGGCTCATCTTGATTAAGAGAAGCAAGTGTTGTTCTACTTCTTTTGTTGTTGAATTTTTTTTTCATATCTTGTTCTTCTACTAGTGGACATTTGTTTTTTGTTTTCGCTGGTGATGCTTTGTTGTTGAAATTATTTTTTGGGCTCTTCGTTCTGTTTGTTTCTTGTGGTATAGTTTTTTGGTTTTCTAAAAATTTGCTCTTCAAAATTTGTTCTGAAGGTTTGAGGCTTTGCTAGTGGATATTTGGTCATTTGGTCTTTGATCTGAAAATTTTGTCAAGGATTGGTGATATATATGTATCTGGCTTTCTTTTGCTTCACTGTGCAGACACATTGTTTGTTTTTGGTATAAAAAAATGAAAGACCAATGTTCTGCTACTACTCTTAGTTTTTATTTTAAGTTTATGAATGACTGGATAAGTATCTTTTGAACATGGATGATTATATTCATCTTGGATGATTATATTAATATCATGTTATGGATTATTGTAGTTTGAGTTCTCTTGTGATATTTTTGTTTTGCTTTAGGTCTTAATTTTTGTTCATTCTATTTTCCTGCAGTCTAAATTTTTTTTCATTTTTCATTTTTTGTTTTTTTTGCTTCCAGGTTTGACTTCGTTAGTTTTCAAGTGTTATTTTCATACTTCAGTTATACATTTTTTTTATATTGGTTGCCTTTTTAATTCGATTGTGTTGGTTTCCATGCTTCATGTCATCATCATTTAGTTCTGGTTGGTCAACTTTTACATTTGCTGTGGCTTCTTCTTTTAAGGTCCCGGTGTTTCAAATCCCACGAGAGAAAGTACTCGAAGTTGATTAACTAAAGTCCTAAGTCCTAAGTCGTGTAAAGTTTTTTTTTTTTAATTTTAAAATGCAGTGGAGTACACCTTAAGTCATTCTTATCCCAAAAGAGCAAGTGAAGCAAACAATTTCAGTTCATAAATCGTTCACAACTTAAAATCAAATTTTGGTTTAACAAAAATCAAGAATTTTTTTTTTTGGTTTTCTAAATTTTCAATGAAAATGCATCGAAGTAAAATTGACTCAAATAAGCAAATGGGTGAATTCTTCAAGTTTTGAATTCATTCCACTATCATAGGCTCATAAATTCCATGAGCTTGGTTCCTATGTTACTCAATTGACAAAATTAAAAACCTAATGACTATTAGGACTAGGTAAATGTGACTTAGACCAAGGCACATAATCCCTAAACAATTATCAAACTTTGATTAAATAAATCATACTAAATTTTTGCCTTGCTAAGAACAATTAAATTTAGAGAATTAACTTCTCATTAAGATCTAATGGAAGCTGAATGAATTGAAAATATCGAGCAAAACTCAAGAGGAATTTGAATTCAGCTAATAATAACCATTAAAGCATAAACTCAAACACTTGAGGTGGACAAATTCAATAGAAAATGTAAACCAAAGCAACTTGATCCTTAATAAGATAAATGATATTAAATTAATTCATTCAATCTAATCAAAATCAATGAGCTAAATTCAAAATGATAACAAAAACTAGAATCAGATTTGAGCAACAACAAAACCATAGACCAATAATTAAAATAAATAACTTAATTAATTTTCAAAACAAGTCAATTATTTGACCTCATAATGATACTATTTCAAACCATCCAAAATAAATCAGATATCATAGTTACAGTCATCTAAAGTATACCAAAAGTAAAAATAGTTTGAAAGGTATCATTATATCATTATATTCATATAATTATCAATAAACAAAAAGTTCTAGTATTGGCAATATAACACATTAAAAATCATAAATTAAATACCCAAAAGAGACAGTGGATCTATATCACTAAACCTCAGGGACTCCTCCATGCGCTACTCATGGCTCTTCTTCTAAAAATTGTTAACCATATAATAAGATTCAAAAGTCCCATTAACTAATGCCGATTTATGATAATGCATACAAATAGTTAAATGTATGCTTGCTAAGTAGGGAAACAACAATAATGTAATTCCAATAAAATATAAAAAATATTGCAATGCATAACAAACAATTATCCTTATCTCCCTCCATTAACCTTGAGCCATAACCCTCACTCGGTGCTAAATTATCCGGTCAAAGATAAATTAGCCCGAGCCCTTACAAGCCACCTATTAGGCTCCAATAGGGGCGTATCACATGGCACATAAATATAATAACAACAAATCTCCCAACACCTCTCACAATAATCAAATAAATTCATAACAATATTGGACAATTATATAATATTACAATCTTCACAATTTTTTTATTTTTAACAATATTATAATATGACATTCCACTTGGCAAAGATATTTCAAAATGCATATTCACAATTTCACAACTTTTTCATAAACATAATAAAATAATTTTTCAACAATAATTCATAATTTTCTCAATAATCACCCAATTAACATAAAGCAGTACTAATCACAAATTAAAAGCATGGTTACCTTGTGGCTTTTTCAATAAATTATTCTTTACAATTTCTCTCTCACCACAATTTTCATCGACAACACAATCTACAAATAACATATTATTTATAAATATTAGTTTCAATTTAAAACTAATAAAATAACTCTAATAATAGAATTAGAGAATATAACATAATTCTCAATCTCAATCTTAATATAAATCTAGAGTTAGTATTATCAAGTAAAATTTCTAACTCCTCTTTTAGTTATCAATAAACATTAATAAGCTAACCTCTAAATCAATTTCTATTATTAAAATTTTCTTTTTTATTTTATAAATTCGCACCTAAAATACTCAAAAATTGAAAATTGAATCTCAAGCCTTGAATCATCATCCTATAGGCATAATAGTCCATTTCTCATTTCAAATAATCATCTAAACCTTAATAAATCAATATATATTTTTTAATTTAATAAAAATCAAGTTTAGGGTTTGATCTATAAGTTTCAAATTCAAAGCTCATCAACAAATTCATACTTTAAAACATTTATTGTATTACTAACAATCTCAACAACTACATTTATTCAATATAAATTCATCCATTTTCTAAACTTTAAATTTTTCATCATCAGGATATCAGAAATGAAAGGAATTAGATGAATAAATTTTTTTTAAAATACTTACTTAGTTTTAAAAAATTTAAAATTATATTTTAAATATTTTATTAAAAACTTTTATTTTTAAAACTCGAATTTCTCCCACCAGCGACTCGCGTTCTCTTCATCTTTGCTGACGCACAGGGAAAAGGAGTGCAAAGACGAAGGAAATGGGTGTAGGTCTTAAAAAAAAGTTGTGGGCCCCAAACAATAAATCACACCACCGGCTGCCCTTTTTTTTTTTTTTTTTATGTATACATATTACACCCCTGACACAAATCGTACGCATATATCCGTTCCCCACGGTTTTTTTTCAATCCCTTCTCCTTTTATCTCAATAACAATAATAACAAGAATAATAATAGTAATAATAATAATTATATTTTTTAAGAATCTTAACACAGAATTTTATCTTAAATTAATTCAATAATTATCTCTTAAATAATTTATTTATCTCTAAATATATTCTAAAATTTTTATTATTTTAAATTAATTATTAAAATTTAAATCAGGATATTACCGCTACTGATTGAAAGAGAGGTCCATAAGAAGCTGCATGAACGAGCTGAAATCTGTGCGACTAGATGAATCTCGACTGAGAGGAAGATGTGTGTGACGAGCTAAGAGCTTAAGAGCGTTCGCGTGTGGTGGGCTGACGAGCGAGAGATGAGTGTGTGCGATGATGATTAAAACTCCCCAGCTCCTCAATTCGTCTGCATGAGGTGACCGAAGATGAGGGATAATTCTGCGAGATGATTGAGCTCTGACCGAGAGGAGAGATGGAGCTGAGCGATGCATCTCTGTTGGTTGAAGGAAGATGTACGATGGCCTGCATGTGATGAGCTGAACTCTGAACCTCAAAGGAAAATGAGAGAAGATGAGCGATACGTGCGTCGTCCAAAAACCAGAGCTCTAGCGTTTGCCTTATGTTTCTTTCTCTTTTCTTCTTCTTTTTTTTTTCGTTCCAGTTTTGCGTTTCCTCCTCTTTAAAAAGTCAAAAATCTGATTTAAAATAAAATTAATCAAATTACTAAATTGGCCCTCAAATACTTAAAATGCAAAATAAACAAAACTAAATTAATCTAATAAAATTGAACCAAATAAAATCCTAAAAATAAGAATAAAATTTTTTCAAATAATAAAATGTGTTAAGGAATTGAAATTTCAGATTAAAAATAATTAATTTCAATAAAATGTGTAAAATGATCAAAATGCCTTTAATACCAAAACTTAATGCAAATGAACCTATATTCAATCAAATTCAATGTTAAAATAATATATATAGAGATCTAAATTAATAAAATATGGTCATAAATGTAAAAAAAAAAAGAAAAAGAAAAAAGCGTGCAATGTATGTGATTTATTACTGACATTCAACTCAAACGTTTGCTCGCTAGGTTTTAATGAAGTGACTTCAACTGGCTTTTGGAGGTGGTTCATGTTGCTGTTTATGCGAGCCAAATTTTATCTCATGCGCTAGCTCTTTTTGAAGTTGTCTGGGGAATTTTACTTTTGTTCATGTTGTGTCTTTGTTCGCGTTGGGTTTATCTAGAGTTTTTGGTCTCTTTGTTTACGACTTTTGGCGGTGTTCTATTTTGCCAGTGTCTGTTTAGGTTCCTTTGTTTTTGTCTTCATGTGTTGGGCCTTTAGTTTTTTTATCTAAAGGCCTTTTGCTTGTAAAAAAATAAGGTAGCCCAAGTTGGTCTTCGTCCATTTGTCTTCCATTTTCATGATTGGTCTAAGGGCCCAAAACACCAAACATTTTGGGGGGTGGGGGGACAGAAGGGGAGTTGGACATACTTAGGGCAGCCCGACCCTATCTTAGTGTCCGACCATGCCCACCCGACCGTAAAAATGTAGAGCATTCTTCGAGCATGATCATTCATTGGGCTAACAAACACCGCCAGTCTAATTTTAGGGTTGAGCATTGGGCTCGTTGTCAGTGCGGTTCGACCTTGCCCATGCACATCCCTGTCAGAGTCTTATCTGCTTTGGAAGTCTTTGATAAATTTCGCTCGCTTTTTTTTTTTGGGCTTCCCTTTTCTTTGATTTTCCTTTGGAAATGTCAATGATGCCTTTGTTCACTCTCAAGATTCAGACTTACATTGAAACGCGTTACAAATTACTTTCGCAATTCCCAGATTGAGGATCCTCGGATGAGCAACGTCTTATCTTCATCATGGGTTTATCAGAAGCTGCTGCTTTTGCTCGAAATTTCGGAGTTATGGTTAGAGTTCGTGGTCCAGTGAGTTCACCTCACTTCACCGATGTTGACAAATGCAGTTCTATATATCACATGTGCATGTATTGGGTCACTAAGCTTGCAATTTCTCGCTTCTATTAATTTTCAGGATCCAAAAGGGTTGAAGATGAGAAGACACGCTTTTCATCAATACCGGTTATGTTCAAGAGGCAGTTCATACTTAATTTTATTCGCTTTCTATTTTTCTTGATTTGTTTATTAATTTTTTTTCCTTCTGGATATGTATAGCTCTGGAGAAACAACGCTCTCAGCTTCGGGAATGCTTATACCTGATACCCTTTATGACATTGAAGTAGCTAGGCATCTTTATGGTGACCTTTGTGAGGGTATGGGATTGGTTGTGACAGTGGCTTCAGTTGTTGAGCCTTTTCTATCACCACAGCAGAGAGAAAATGTTTCTCAGGTTGGCGCTAATGTTGATTGCATTATAATTGATTGGCCTTTTCTTCTTTCTATATGTATTGAATTTTTATTTTTGGTCATTTTTAGTTTCAGGGTCGGCCTGAGTTAATTTCTGGTGTTCGGATTGATATTATGACAGAGAAAGCCAGTGAAAAATCAGATAAAGGAATCCCTTGGCTTGGGGCGCAGCTTTTGTCATTAGTAGACATTTTGTCTTCTCATCTCTCGTTTGATTTGGCATTTTGAACTTCTTTTCTTCTTTAAATGCTGGCTTCTTGAGATTAATTATATGGTACACATTCTGCTATGTAAATCTAACTGACTGGTCCGGCTTTTAAACTTTCATCAGTCATCACTTTGAATGTGGGTGTTAAATTAATGCAACTTATATACATCAGAGTACAATGATTGGCTATTAATGTAATGCCGCTAATTTCTTGGTTGCTTTCTGGTGTTTTACATGGTTATTCCTTTTTACGGAAAAATTATGCACCTCTGACTTTTAGACTTTAGTAACTTATGTTTCTTGACATGACTTAAATATTAGCACTCATGTTATGATTAAAATATGTTAATTAATGTTGTTACTATTGATTTACAGTCTGTCACATTATTTTATTCATGTTGATTGACTTTGTCACTTTTATGTTTTTCTTTTCATAATAGATTGCTTTCAGTTTAAATGAGATATATGCCATATGCAGGTGGATATCCCTGTGTCAGCCCACTGTCTCCAGTTACTTGTTGAAGCATCTTTCAGCTCACCAGAGCCCGGGTGGGATGTTGGCTGGTCTTTGGCATCTTACTCTAATGATTCTGAGCATTCTAAAGATTTGTTAGAAACTCAGGTTGGCCGTATTATTTTGTTTTCCATGTCTTTTGTCTTTTGCAAGTTCAACTTTTCCTGATGTTTTCAAAACGTTGATATTCTCTTTTATCCTTCTCTTTCTGTCATAAATTAGTTCATATACAAATTTGTTTAAGCACATGCATTCATATTTAACAATAATAATTATATCATGATTGACATATCTAAAAGAAATACACCCTGCTTCATTTGTAAATTTGATTCCCTGTGAACTACCTCTATAGAATTATTTTTTTCTTAAATATGATGATATTAATTGTAGTTGCCAGTTGCATGCATGATGTTTGTCTGAAAAAAATAGGACATCTCTTATATTTGATTGTAGCAAGTTTATATCTTCTGATTAAAGGACTAAAAAGGTCAGTCGAAGCACCTGCAAGTCTGACTCTTTGGTTTCAAGCCTGTGAGCACCATAATCTGAATCATTATTGTATGACCTGAGATCACAGAATGATAATCCTTATAAGACTTCGGCTGTGACTTTGCTGAAATTCACTGGAGTATTTTTGTTTAGTGAACTACAACAGGGACCGCTTGATTAGTTGATTAGCTTGTGAAAGTTTTGAAAAAGAGTTGCAATATCTTTTGAGGTGATTAGTGAAAGCTATTTTTCTCATTGTTTTACAACAACAACAACAGCAACAACTTATCCCACTAGGTGGGGTCAGCTTAATTTTTTGTTATTGTTTTAGCATACTCAAATTTTTAACTTGTAGCCTTGCAGAATAGTAGGTTGTAAATTTCATCCTATTGAAGAAGCTTTATTTGGTTTAGTTTTTCTTTTTCTTTTTCTTTTTTCTTTTTTCTTTTGTAATTTATTGATGAGGAGAGAAGCAACCCAATAATTGGACGAGAATCCTTGTGAAAACCCAAAAAAAGAAAAAAGGAAAAAACAGAGTTACTAACTCATAAGAGCTTTCCAATCGGCTGTTATAAGTCAAGTAGGGATGTACATCTAAATGAACCTTTTGTTGAAAACCAGAAATAGGCCAAGAAGAGAATTTCAGAATCTATGGAAGTCTTGCAGGTTACAGAAATAGTCACTTCTAGTGCGCCCAAAATAGAAGTTATAAATAGCAATGTCCAGTTATAGTTTGGTGTGAGCAAATGTTTGGAGTTAATGTTATACACACATTAATCAAATCTTTTGTTGCAGTGTAAAAAGAAAGGAGAAAAAGTAAGACATTTTGTTTTTGTCTATATACAATTCTCTGTAACACTTTATGGTGTGCATAACACTGACAGCATTGATGCCTAACCTACAAGAAAATGATAATTTCATGGGCCCCAATCTGCTGCCAAGATCAATAGGGGCAAAGGAGGAGCTGAGGGCATAAAAGAAGGACAAATGATAGAAAAACAGAAAGGAGGTACTAATAGTGACTATAGTCAGAAGGCGAAAGGGAAAACCGGGAGGGGGCGGGTAAAAGAGGGAATCCTGAGTGACAGAGGAAGGAGTGCTCAGGAAGCTGTTGGAGCATGGCTTTAAAAGGAATAAACTGACCTTAAAATGGGGGAGAAGAATTTGAATGTCTTTTTGGGTTAAGAGAGCCAACCGCATGAAAGTTGGCATGTGTGATTTTTTATTAGCCAGTTTTAGGTTGCATTCTGCCTGGTTTAAAAGTGAGCATTTGTGTAATGATGTACTCAGTGAATCTTTCTTTGTGTTAAAGAGAGGTTCCATTAGATTATTCAGTTGTGATCTCTTATCCGAGAGCTTTTTTGTGTTCAAGTACTATATACTTGGACTCTTGCCATTTTTTGGGTTTGCGTAATGTGTTGACATGAGTGTCCTGTCATGTCCTCCCTCTATTGGTCTCGTAGTAGGATTGATGGAACTAACAGTACAAGTTTGTTGGCCTTACAAAGTTGTTTTTTTTTTTTCTATTTTGTTAGTGTAGGTCTAGTTCAGAACAATAGGTCACTTATTTTTGCATTGCATGGAAGCTACCTTTTAATTTCTTATGCACTTGATAGGAAAATTAAAAGGAAATATTCTAAATAGTTAGTGTAGGTCTGTCCGAGACACATAATAGAATAACTTTCATTTAATTTCTTTTGCACTTGATAAGCAAACCAAAAGGAAATATTCTATTACAGGAAAAAAAAATTGATGTCTGTAGTTAATTTTCTTTTCCCATTTATGATTTTATTTCACTTGAAATGTGGGATCATTAGGATGCTTAAAACGTGTGCATGATAGTACAAATTGTCATTGGTAATAACTCTTCCTAGTCCTATAAAAGCAAATGCAATCTTATGTGATGGTGATGATATTTTTCTGTGAAATTCCAGGGAAGTTTAGCATCCGGCATGTTAAGTCTAATGTGCAGATCACTAACTAGAATGGCTATTCTTGGTGTCTCTTTATCTTTGAAGGTGACACTTTTTCTTGGATATATTTTCTTTTGGTAGGATATCTCATGCCAATATTTTCTATATAATGCCCATATTTACTAGTGATATGAATTGTTTTGATGGTAATATATTTGTCTGTAGAGATTCAGGAGAATAACTTGTTAACGGTTTTGACATAGGACGTCCAGAATTGTACAGTATCTTCGATGAATAGTAGAGGCAACTATCTTCTGGCAATTGGGTCTCCTTTTGGTGTCCTGTCACCTACTCACTTCTTTAACAGGTATTATTACTTTGTTTGGTTTTTATATTAAAAAAATTAACTTCATTTGGTGAGTTTGATAGAAACATACTCCTCAAATACACACTAAAATGCTCTGCTACTATTTAATTAAGGTTAATTAACATTAAAATAAGGAAAAGGCCCTATCTCATTCAACAAATGGATGAGGAGTTGATTACACAGAATATAAAACGGCAAGTAAATGAAGCTGCAAGGAAAATGAATTTCTCTCATACCCTAGACGGGAAAAATTGTGGGAGAAAAATTCCTGATTCTTGTTGATTGACTCAAATGTACGAGGCTAGGCTATCTATATACATAAACTAGAAGCAAAAACAATGCAAGCAAATGAAAACTCATATAGGCTAATAATGACTATGCACTAAGCTCCTGGTCATCACTAATCCCATGTAAATGAATATTTAGAGTACATGATGATTGATGAATATTGCCACACTTCCCCTCACGTTGGACCATAGTTATCAATCATGTCCAACTTACTGATGTATTCTTTTAAAATTTCTCATGGAAGGCCCTGAGTAAGAATATTTGCTGCTTTCTCTATTGACGAGATGTAAGTTAAGCAAATTATCCCTTCCTCAACTTTCTCCTTAATGAAGTGACTATCCACCTCATCTTATTTGCTTCTCTCATGTTGAATCAGACTGACCAAGAGATATATTAATATCCGCTTTGCTGTCACAATAAAGCTTAGTAGGTATATTCATACCAATCTGTCATGCTTCTAAAAGCTTGTAAAGCCACGGACAATTCCTTGGGCTACTGCTCTAAATTTTGTTTCTGCACTACCTCTGGTTATGACATTTAGTTTCTTGTTTCTTGTTTCTTTCTGGATACACCAGGAGGGTTTGAACCCAGAAGCTCTATCGACACTTCACCTCACCCTTGCCACTTGAACCAGCCTCAGGTGGCACAACGTTTTATTTCCTTACTTTGAAGGAACTAAATTTCCCAAATAAAGGTGCAATATTTTAATGTAGATCTTCTATCATCAGTGGATCCTACTCAATTAGTATCAGTAAGTGATGGATATTGCCGCATTAGTCACAGAAAAAAATTTCAAAAAATATCACAAGAAGATACACCCTTAGCATTTGAGAGGCTAACCTATCTGGTTACCAAAACCCAGATACTTCCTTAAACCCCCATTGAACCTCACACTTTAATATAAATCCGACCAATAGCACTTCTCTCTCTTGCTTTCCTCCCCTAATTCTCTCTCACACACCTCACGTGCCCAATGCGAGTTAGTCTTGGCCCATTAATCAAGGGCCCATCATTTCCCAGCCTTCAAAGTTTCACCTTGCCCTCAATATGAGACTTGGCTTCTTCCTTAAGCAGCCCAACTTCTTAAGTTTGCTACAAGAAACTTGTACTTGACTTCTAGTTGCAGAAGTAACAATTGCCGATGAACCCCAGCCCAAGTCATTCCATTTTGTATGGAATGTAATATTCAGGTGAAGGAAGGAATCTATTTACAAATTCAACAAATTGCTTGACCTTTCCATAAGATGAAACATAGCTAACAAATGTTCTCACAAGTCCCATAGGTTTGCTATTAATTCTATCATGATCATACTACTATACTAGTAGACAAAGCCAGCCTCAATGTTGTAAATGAGATCCTAGTGAGTTATTTGGTTGTGCTTTGCACATCCACGGTGTATAATATGCCAGGAATAAAGAGTTGTAAACTTGTAGGTCCTGAAAAAAATGTAAAAATATAGAGCACAACTGAATTTGCATGGAAACAATACTGAAAAGTCCCCTTGGCAATATTTGTCTAGTTTAAGACTAGTTTTCAATGGGATTGCCTTGAACACTGATATGAAAAAGTGAGTCTTTAGTGCTACATCCTTTGCTGTTTTACTAATAATTGTTGTCATTATTGAGATTTTAGTTTGCTCTTTCATTCAAGGATATGGACATTGCAAATATTGTCATACTAGTGCCAAACATAATGGCTAACAGTCATGAAGGAAAGTATTATGAATGAATCAACGATTTGTCCAAGCATTTTGACATCCTTGCTTATTATTACTTGCTCGCTTTCAATTTGTGCCACTACACCTAGGATAGCATTTTGGATGTGTTTATGGAACTTAATATTCCCCTTCTCCAACGCAGAGTTGACATGAGTGAACCTTCTGAATAAGGTTAGTAGCATGTGATATCTAGACTTCAAAATTCATGTTTAGATAAAACGTGCGTGCTTCCTTCCTTTGTATCCCTTCTAGAATGGATAATAGAGATTCAATTCTCAATTATTTCCCCCTACAACCGATCATGAAGCAATTCCACCTCATTGCTTGTTGTGACATCATTGAACAAGAAGGGATATTTTGGCTTGCTTGACACTACTGATGAGAGTAAGTGACATGAAAGATTTAGCTTTATAAATGAATTGGTACTTAATGAAGCTTTGTCAAATGGTTCTAATGGAGGCTTAAGTAATATGAAAGTCCTAAGTCGCATATTAAGGTGTATGGGATGAACAATGTGGTATTCAAGTTGATTGGTTCTCCCATATCAATAGGTAGTTTTTTTGGGGGAGGTTTTCCCATTGCATTAAGTACCCATTAATTGGCATTAGAGCTGGTTGTTGATAGTTTTGGAAAGGGCTACGACTATTTGTGAAGGCTTTCAGCTTGGAGGATTCCGATTAGTGAGAAATCGAGTGACGTGCTGTAAAATGTACACATTGGGATGTTAACTCTCCAGGGTTGGAATTGAATAATTGAATTTAGATTATGGGATTCCTTAGTCTTGCATTGTGTAGTATGAGCCGCTCAATAAGTATCTGAATGAAATGGTTATAGCTCCTTAATAGTTACCTTTTTAGAGGAGGGTTATCCATCCCACTTTACACTATGCCTGGCTCAATGAAAGGGAGGGGAGGGAATTTTAATGTTATCAACTTCATAGCTTATGCACATTTAGTGTCTACTGTACCTTTCGAGGATCTTTTCCCGGCAATTTGTCATTCCTATGTTGATTCCTTTAATTGAAACAATGATTTGTGATGCATATATGGCTTATAAGAGAACGCCACCACCCATTCATTTATGTTATTTCGAACCACCCTTCAGTAGGTGCTCCTACCATTACCTGCAGTTTCCATATTCGCTTGCAGCCAGAAACTTTCATCACTGACATGTATGCTGTTTACTTTTGACCTTGGTTAATGGTTCCCTCTTGTTTGAACTCCATAACCTATTTGCTGTTGGGACATATCATAGCGGGCTCTTATAATGATAGCTTCCACAGTATTTTGTCCCTCTTGTTCATCACAATCAGAATGCTTCTTACACTTATTTATCCAGATGTCCCCACACACACATGCAAAGATAATATTCCACTGAATGTTCTTGGTAAAGGGAGACCCATCTCTTCTTCATGTTCAACTGTATCCAATCCCTCTCTCATATGTTGCTAAAATTTTCCTTTAATATTTGGTCCTACCTTTCCTCTTGTTATGTTTTTACCTTCATTAAATTATTGTGCGGTAGGCTAATAATCTTGTAGTCACACCATACTTTTGGCATCTTGAATCTAAACTCTTTGTTTGATTATGTTTTGTCGTTTATAATCATTGATTTAATTTCTTCTTGAATTAGCGTATCAGTGGGAAGCATTGCAAACAGCTATCCTCCTAGTTCATCTGATGGATCATTGTTGATGGCTGACATTCAAAGTCTTCCTGGTTTGAGACATTTCCATGTTTTATAATCCATTAGTCTTCTGATTCAATTGACCAGTTTTTCTAATTTGGCACTGCATCTTTCAGGAATGGAAGGTAGCCCAGTCTTCAGTGAACACGCATCTCTTACTGGCATCCTGATTAGACCATTGAGGCAGAAAACCAGTGCTGTAGAAATCCAGGTAGCCTAAATATATTTATATCTTGTCCTACATGTTTTATGCTGTATCAAATATCTGTTATCATGTAAATCTTATCTTCGTTAATAGCTGGTGATTCCATGGGAAGTCATTGTAATTGCTTCTAGTGGCTTACTAAAGAAATGGCCTCAAAATACAGTGAAAGAGTTGTATCGTGAGGGAAAGTCACAGGAGGGAGGACAAGGGTCTTTTACTAAAACTGACAACTTGGGATCCTGGGGTTCTCATAATGGGCATTCTAAGTTCAGTAGCCCCTCATCATTACCAATTGAGAAGGCAATGGCTTCTGTATGTCTTGTTACTATAGACGACGAAGTTTGGGCATCTGGTGTTCTACTGAACAGTCAAGGTCTGATACTTACAAATGCTCACTTGTTAGAACCATGGAGATTTGGGAAAACACAGATTAGTGGATATGGAGACAACCCTAAAGAATTTCCTTTCTTAGCAGAGGGGTCTGTTGGGAAAGGAGTTGAGGATAACCAACAGAGTCAAACCATAAGGTCTGAGATGACAATTCTTAATCCTTTTTCAGCTCATGAGCGGGGGGAATATATATTGAGTCCAAATTATACTAGACATCAAATTATACGAGTACGCCTTGACCATGTAAAACCTTGTGTTTGGTGCATTGCTAAAGTTGTGTATGTCTGCAAAGGACCATGGGATGTTGCCCTCTTGCAGCTTGAATCCATACCAGATCAGCTTGCGCCTATTGTGATGAATTTTTCATGGCCATCCATGGGATCAAAGGCATATGTCATTGGCCATGGACTATTTGGCCCAAGATGTGGTAAGCTCCTTGTAATCTTATTTGTTTTTGTTTTTTTTCTTTTTTTTTGGTTATGTGATTCATTGTGGAATTAATTTTCAAGTTACTAATGGTTACTTATGAAGAGAATTGTATGTAGCATGCTAAGATTTTAAATACTTATAGAATGTTGTTAATTTGTTGGAATCTCGTGATTATGGGTGAATTCATTTTCTGATTAGCTTGGCATATCGCATGATATATTGGTATTATTGTTAACTTCCTTGATTCATGCTCATGCTTTATGATATCATTATCAAGTATTTATTTCCTGGTTTTCCTCAATTTCTAGGACTAGTTGGGTGTTTACCACATCAGCCGTTATCTAATCGAGTTATGCCTTGTTTGTAAAGCAGGAGATTAAATTTTAACCAGAAGATAATATAAAGATTAATCCTGTAACATTTAGTAACTATACAGAGTTATTTGAGAAGAAAGCTATAAGAACTACATTAAAAATTAAGTTATATCACAGGGAGAAATGATTAATTTCCACTTAATCTTATAGCCATTGGATTGCCTAGAAAGGTAAAATGGCCTCGCATCTTGATCTTTATGGAAATTATGATAATAAGTTTTGTTTTTAATGGGTATAAGGCCCAGCAACTCTTTAATCACCAAGCTTAGGTTACATGTTAACCAAAGTCAGCTTGACTCCAATTTTGTCAAAACCTTGACAGGAGTTAAGGCTTTAGTAAGAATATCACCCACTTGTGACACGTTGAATAGGATTCTTTGCAATACTTAGGGCAGTTATCGCAAATAACTTTCCTAGGTTCTTGATAATAAACTTTCCATACGAGTCCTTTTAACATCTACCCCTCACATGTTCCTTGAGTTCAGACTATATTCTTCACTTTTTTTTACCATCCCAAGCTGCATCTTACATGTAACAAGCTTCCCCTATACGTGAAAACTAGTTTGACGCAGACACGCCTATTAGAAATAAAATCTGCCCAATCAGCATTGCAATTGATCGCATTGCCACCATTTTTACCCTTCTTGAAGTAAAGTCCTTTTTCTAGGGGAATCTTCAAGTATAAGTAAACCAGTTGAAGCTCCCTTTCAAGCTGCTTATAGAATCCCGAGATACTTAGGAAGCCTATGTTGGGTTGTGAGTGGGCTGGATAAATGAGTCCAGCTTATCTTCAACTGGATAGTCACTTTTGAAAGAAGCACTGAATGCGTATTAAGTTTCTTTTCTAGAAGTTTTTCGACAAGGATTGAGAATACATAGACTCCCAATGTGTTGTGATTTTCTATTATTGTTGAACCCATTAGTGGGTTTGGACCTAAAGTTCCCCAATAATATAAAGCTCAAGTTTGACAGCAGTCCACCTAGGATTGCAAAGAGTGATAAACTCTTGTATAAATTACCATGAGCCCCAAGGAAAAAAAAAAATGTAAAGTTGAAGGTAGCAGATGACCATTTATCCCTTTGTGTCCTGTATTAACCAGGGAAGTCATTTCCGTTTGCATTAGGGTTCTTCCCATCTGTTTGTTCTGGTGTCGTGGCAAAAGTGGTTGAAGCAAAGACTCCTCAATCCTATTTCTCAGTTCAGCAAGAGCACAACCATGGGCAACTCCCTGTGATGCTAGAAACCACGGCTGCTGTTCATCCTGGAGCCAGTGGGGGTGCTGTCATCGATTCAGATGGTCGCATGATTGGTTTGATTACCAGGTATTGCTACCCGCTTTCTGTATAATGTATAATTTATTCTAACCTTACTTGAAACAACTGTTTTCAGCTTGTACCGAACTGCAAGATATTATTTAGAGCATTAGGTACCCATTTCAGACTTTAATGGCATCCCTAGCTTGGGATCAAGGTTTGAAATCGGGCTGTTTGTCTTTAGATTTTGATGGATTTATAGTCTGGATTGCCTCTAGCCCTGCACCATTTGCTTTCGGGCACCTGATAATATTCCAACTTATTATTTTCTATGATCATCTATTCAGTCATGCTTTCAAGACATCAAAGATCCTTTGGATGAATTTCATTGGCTTTGATACTTACTGTCTCGTTCGCTTTGGTTTACCCTTTTCATGTGGCTGACCACCCTGTTGGTCCTCTGCATTCTCTGAGCTTTTTATGATTTCCATTATTTTTGTAGCAGTTGCTGCTGAATGTCTGAAGATTTAAATTTCATACTAATTTTAAGTTTTTCTCGAGTCTTGACACAGCAATGCAAGGCACAGTGGAGGAACAGTGATACCTCATCTTAATTTTAGCATTCCATGTGCAGCTTTAGCACCCATCTTTGTTTTCTCAAAAGGTAAGCTGCTAAAGCAGTTTTTCAGTTTAATGATAAATGACAGAGCCGTTGAAACACTCAAAAAGAGAAAAAGAGAGAAAAAGAGAATGATATAGCCTTAAACTAGCAGGCATTTGTCTGCTGCCGCATGATACCTACATGTTCATGAGTTTTTCCACAATAGCTGAGGACCGTAGGTAGTTGAACGTTTGACACACCACTGGTTTCCATTGCAGACATGAAGGATCTTTCACTTTTGCGAGTTCTCGATGAACCCGATGAATACATTTCATCGGTGTGGGCTTTGATGCGGCCATCGTCGCTAAAGCTCCCTCCTATGTTTCAACTGCCTCAGTCCCTCCTTGATGATAACAGTAAAGAAAATAAGGGTTCTCGGTTTGCAAAGTTTCTTGCTGAAAGAAAGGGACTTTTTGATCGGCCTTCTCAACAAGTACAGCATGGAGTTAATAAAGTAACACCTAGTAAACTATGACCTCCGAAGTCTCTTGTGCAGAGTGAGAGCTTGCCAGAAATAATGAAGATGACTTGCCCTGCGTTTTGGTTATCTGTAAAGTTGAAGCTGAAGTTGACTATTGATAATGAAATCTTGGACGTTAGATAATTTGTATCATAATGAAAATGGAGTTGACTTTTGAAAATCTATGCTTTGTTGATAATTGTATTAAATTGTATAATGTGTATCCTGTTATTAGCAATTATTTATTTCCCATTTACCTTTTCAAGTATAAGATTTTATTTGGGTATATAGACTGGACAGGGTATGAGTTCAAGCAAAGAAAATAAGGAGAATTATATTAAAGTCTTACACAAAAAAAAAATAATAATAATTATTACTAAATTCATTGACAATAATGCAAATTAGTTCAGTTATCAATGAATTTTATGATAATTAATTTATTTATGTGGGATCTAGCTGTAATTTTTTCAAGAAAATATGTAAAACATTTATTTTATGACTTCTTAACAGTTTGACACCTCGTGTAGGGCCATTTGCATAGTTTTGAATGTAAATTAGATTATTTTCATTGATGAAAATAAATATGTATGGTTGATTTTGATAAATTACATTGAAGAACATAATTTCGTGCAACTTCAATGAACGACCTTTTTGTCATGACTGAATGGAAATGCCATAGTGTAAGAATTATTTTTTCTGTTAAAAAATATAAGATATTTTTAATAAAATTTTATCCTTCAATAAAATAATTATTTATTTTTAAATTAGTTATATTTTTCTATATTTATTTTTTTAATATTGGTGTTTTATTTTAAAATAAATATAAAGTGATTTATTTAATAGGGGAATTTAAAAAAAGGAAATAATTACATCTTGAAAGATTAAAAATGTTTTATATTTTTTAACATCTAATTATTTAAAAAATACTTTACATTTTTGAATGGATTTTAAAATATGTAACATAAACCTTATTTTTAAATGCATAGCAAATTAAACCCTGCCATTATTTTTTTTAATGCTGTTATTGTTCACCATGGGCTTTAGTTAAATGCTGATGTGTCATTGGCATACACTATTACGCAAGTAGCATCCTGAACCCTGAAACTATAAAATTTTGAACAAATTACCCACATTATTTATGTATAGAACGTCAACTATTATGTAGACTAAATTAGTCTTAGTGTGGTTTGTCACACTGAATGCATTGTTGGCTGTAGGAAACAACCCATAATTTGTAAAATGATGTTTTTTTTACTCTTTTTATGTAATATTTTTCAAATAATTTATATCTCATGCTTTAGTATATTCTATAACCCTTATTTAGTTTTATTTTGAATAATGTTTATTTATTTAATGGTGAAAACTTAGGATTTCATTGGAAAAGAAATTTAAATATCAAAGAATTTTAATTAACCGATTAATTTAGGTTTTAAATTCGTTGATAAAATCATTAACTTTCGCATCCATCATCTGTAAAATCTTATGATACGTAAACTTCTTTTCAAATGGGATTCCAAATTTTTACCATTAAATAAATAAACATTATTCAAAATAAGACTAAATCAGAGTTATAGAATATACGAAAGTATGAGAAACAAATCATTTGAAAAATATTGCAAAAAAAAAAAAAGTTATTTCATAAAATTATGGGTAGTTCATCACGACAAACAATGCATTCATCACAGCAAACCACATTGAGTCTAATTTAGTTTACATAATAGTCAACATTTTTTAAATAAACGGTGAGGTAATTTGCTTAAAATTTTAAAGTTTAGGGTCCATAACGCTACTAATGTAATAGTTTAGGGCTTGCGACGCTAATTAACAATGATACATCAACATTTAATTGGGCTCTATGATGAACAGTAACGGTATTAAAAAAAGATAATGGTAGGGCTTAATTTGCTACGGATTTAAAAGTTTAGGGTTTATTTTGTACATTTTAAGAGTTGAGGGTCCAGGACACTTTTCAAGTAAGAATTCAGAGTTTATTTTACTTGTTAACCCATCCAAAAAAATCCATGGCATTTCCATAAAGTTTAGGAGATATGATGTGTAAATATGATACATGAATTGAATACATTAAATATCTAATATTTATTTATAAAAAAATAAAATAAGATACGATATGTCTAGGATGGGCATCAACACTTATAAAAAAATTCATAAAACACACTAAATACAGAATTTTAATTTAGAAAATGTCCAAATTAGCATACACAGGTTTGACTGGAGAGTAGACATTAGAATAAATTGAAATTGACCCTAGGGTTTGACTAGAGAGGAAGTTTATGGTGGATCAGGGTGTTGCAGTGACTTTATCATGTAGATGTTCGGTAGATTTCATTGAGGATTTTTTTTTATTTTTTTATTGTGTTTGGCTCTCATTAAATTTGTGAGACTTTCAAGCTTTTAGGGAGAACTAGCAAATAGCCCTTGCACGGTATGAATGCTCCGTCAATTGGATAAAATTGGACTGATACATGTTTGTAATATTTCAAGAGGTTCATGTTTTTATAGTTCATTATGCTTAACATGATTTTCTGTTGTTGTGCAGTGAGACCTCGAACGGGGACAGGAATGTAATTGTAATGGGGTGCAATTTTGTAAGAAAGTAAATGTCATTCATAATTCTCAGTTGTATATTTTGAAAAATTTCCTTGCACACAACATTTATTGATACCTTGTTTGGTTTGGTTGGAGGAGAGGGGGATGGAGGGGATTTTAATGATCTCTTAGGTTGGTTTAGGACGGGAAGAGAGGGAATATAATAATTGATTTACTATTACACTCTTTTATATTGGTTTATTTATTTATTTTTAATTATTCCTTATATAAATTAACTTTGCACCCTATTCATTAAATTAAATTATAATTTTAAATGAAGAGTTTTATTAATATTTATATTAATTATTAATTATAGAAATTAATTAAATATTCATTTTTTAATTATTAAGCAAATCAAACAAAGAAAAAGAATAATTTTGTTGCTTTTTTTTCTCATGTGAATGTCGGTAACCATCACCGGCATCATCAGGATTCATGGATGAGCCAATGAGGAGACAAGGTATATGAAGGACAACTACGAAACATCATTAAAAGGTTCTGGAAAACTAGTCAAAAATTTTGGCTCCCCTCCGAAAAAACCCCTTTCAAAATTTCCCAACCAAATGAGGAGAGGGGACCATTTTCCCTCCCCTCTCCTGCCCCAACCCCCAACCAAACACACCTTTATTAGTGTGTGATTGTGGCTTCTTATCCTTGTCATGGATTAAAATTTTCAAGCCATTCATGAACTTAACCCTTGAAATTGATACATATAATTAACCTTGAGAGAAGATTGGTCTTGGAAGGTAGAGGCCAACATTTTGTAGGGATTGACCTTAACTTTTGTTTATTGTCATTGAAAATGCCAAGATGATTGAAAATTATCTTCATTGCATAATAAATGGTAAGGAAGTCTCAGAAGGTTCATGTCCATCATATGCAAGACTAATTTGTTATTTGCAAGTGATCCATTTAACCTGAGTACTTTCATCACATGTTTTCCCATACATGTTATTCTCAATCTCATACCATTGCTTAGACCTGATGCCTAGTTTATATTCCTTACAAGCATGACTGGTATTCCTATTTTCAATGTTAATTTGTGAGGAGGTAGTCTTGAACTATTGATGGTGTTAAGGAATTATGTTCAGTACAAATCATGATAGAGTCATTGTCATTTTTAGACCTTGGCACTGAGTCAGAACTATAGTAAATGGTCGAGTTCTCTAGTAGTAGAAAGCAAATTTAGTCATTTATGTGATTAACAATTTTAATAGTAAGTGTAAGGATTGTATGGTTATTAATACTTTTAGTCTTTAATGTGATCAAGCAAATTAGGACAGGTTTCCATGACAATTGCTTGTAATGGATTTGAGTAATTAGTAATAAGTAGTTATGGTAGGATTTCTATTTTTGCTATGCCATCATGAGGTAGCTCACTACTACAAAAATAACTTTTTATAACGGTTAAATAAGCGATGTTGTTACATGGTATGTAGAAAGTCTAACTTTCTACATTGGTTATATGAATGATGTAAAAAATATATTTTCTACATTGGCTAACTATAATCAATGTAGAAAATGAATTCACAAACTAAAAAATTAAAAACTACAACACTACTTTCTACATTGGTTGCAGCCTTAACTGCTGTAGAAAGTTTACTTTCTACATTGGTTAGGGCCCCAACTACTATAGAAAGTTTAATATTTTACACCGACTATTACATTAACTGATGTAGAATAGTAATTTCTACATCGGTTATGGCAATAATCGCTGTAAAAAGTATATTTTTTAAAATAAAGAATTCATTTTTTAAAATTTACTCTACTCTGTATACAAAAATTACCACAGCCAAGCTAGATAGCACAATTTATTTATAATTTTCAATACAAAATTAAATTAACAACTATCCAAAACTGACAATTATCTATAAATTATCTAAAAACTATTGAGCTATTCAAAATTAACCACTGTGTCAACAAATATTTTTAAAAGTTATCTACAACTAACAAACTTCTTAAATTGTATGAAACTTTCTATAAAACTCACAAATTCTCCCCAAAATAAGTTTCCTAACGTTCATCTAGCATTCATCCAACTACGATCCATATGTCAGTTCTTAAAGAATATAACTAATGTTATTACCTACAAACTATTTCAAAAATCTAAATTCCTAAATAAATGACCACATGCAAACAATATGATAAGGCCTTCTTATGAAGCCACTAACAGCAATCCTAGCAACAATCAATATTATTAAAAACTAAATTCAAGTAATTCAGAAGAAAGAATGAATTTTAAAAAATTTTGGCAGAGTCTCCCTTAAAAATTGAACCTCCCAAGAATTTTAAAAATTTTAATAGAGAAAATTGATAATTTTAAACTAAATAAATGACTGCATGCAACAACATGAGATCTTATGAAGCCACTATTAGCACTCCCAACAACAATCAATATCAATAACAACTAAATTTAAGCAATTTAGGGAAAAGAATGAATTTAAAATTTTTTGGCATAATCTCCTCTAAAAATTGAATCTCCCAAGACTTTTAAAAAATTTTACAACAATCTCAACAACCTAAAAAATATTTATATATCATCACACACACACACAAACACACAGACACACAGACACACACACACACACACACACACACACACACACACACACACACACACACACCAGCCAACAAATTTAAAAACTAAATTTAAGCAAT